TTTTGATAATTATTTATCATCAACTTATTTGTCAATAGCTTTCCTCGTTTTAGAAATTTTTCGTACGTAGAGCGCATGATCTTTTGGATTGAATTATTAATTAACTGGAAGAAATAAAAAAAAAAAACCAACTCCGTATGCAGGTGATTATGGAATATTGGTACATAAATAAGGGAAGTTGAAGATAGAAAAGTTGAAGTCATCACGTTTATCATAAAGTTTTGTTTTTAGGCTACCATTAACGCCCTTCTGTAGTAAGATATCCTAATATGACACAGGTGTGTCAGACTATCTGGTATCTTATTTATTTTGAGTTCAAAGGGATATATCGAATCAATGAAAATGAAATTGATAAACATTCGTCTATATATCTTTTTGTCAAACTGAAGGCCACAGCAAGAAACTACTTCTTTTTATGAATAAGTTTTTTAATAAATTCTGCTTCAGTTATTGGAAGACACGATCTAAAAAATATATTTTCATCCAGAAACTCAAGATTTTTTTAGAATCAACTCTGGAGTACATGTGTGTACATCAGAATGTTTTTAACAAAAAGGTTTTGCAAATGACCAATGACATGGTAAGTAAATATACGAGTTCCATTTTTATTGAAAAAGCAGTTGTCTCTGATGTATAAAAGCCTAGAAATAAATTTATTGTTGGGAATGGTTGTATACGAGGGTCGTTCAATAAATAATACAACATACAGTATATCATAATAAATGTAGAAGTATTTTATTTTATTTTTTCACAGTTGAAAAGTTCTATTAAAGAGCTTCTTATCACAGAAAATCCCATGATTTTTCCTTTTGTCCTCGCAAAGAAATTCACTTTTAAAGTAAGCATGGTCACTACACTGAGCTGAAAACTGTTTATAAATGTTCTCTGCCAAGAAGATGAAAATGGAAGCTTATGTGAAAACTGTGCTTCTTTACATAAATCGCTGAAAAACTCATATCAAGGATATGATTTTTATATGTGGAAAGAATAGTCTTTAATGCTGTATAGTTTTCAGATTGATTCATAAATTCAAAAGTAAAAAGGTAGAGTTAAAATAAAATGGTTAAACTGGTCGATTGAAATCTGTAGGGACACAAAAAAATATCGATGCTGTGTGCAACATGATATCTGAAAATGCCAGATTTACACTGAAAGACATTACTAAGACACTTAACATTTCATCATCACAACATTTTATAGAATTCTGACAAAGGAAATGAATATAATAGTATTTCTATCAGATGGGCGCCTTATTTTCTTACAAACGCCTAAGAGACAACATGCATTAAATGTGCAAACGATCTATTTAAAAGCAAATATTTTAACAAAATAGAAGATTACATAAACTTGTGTGATGCATGACGAAACATGGATGCACTTCTTATAACCGAAAAGGAAGATCAATAAATGTGAAATCAAAGAAAAAGTTGTCGTCTTATTATTGTAAAAAGAAACAAGAGCTCCAAACGTGTTTTATTAGTTTTCATTTTTTTTCAAGACGTCAAGTATAACATGTACATACACCCAAAGGAAGGACCATCAATGGTTACTATTATGTTCAAATTGCAATGAGGAAAGGTAAACAGATTTCCTGCAAAGGAAGTCCAAATACCGCCCCCAGGGTAATTTTCTTGCACCTGGCAACGCTGCTGCAAATAAGCACAGAGAAATAAATGAAATTCTGAAGAAAAGAAAGTTTACAGAGCTTTGCCATCCTCCATATTCGCTAGATCTCAGCCATTGTGAGATCTTTTTATTCCATAAACGCATGAAAACAATCAAAGGAAGATTGTACAAAATTAGATATGTCATGGGAAGTGATATTCATCAGTGTCTTTGGGGCATCTAAAGATGAGTACGCTGAGATTTTCTGGTCATGGATACAAAGACTTAAGACATGTATAAAGGATAACAGGGAATGCTTTGAGGGATTGAAAATGTTTAGAATATGTATTACGTACTTTTCTTACTTTTAGATGACCTATTGCATTATTTATTGAACGACCCTTGTAAGTGGTGAAAAGTCAAGTTGTTTTTATGCTATTGATTTTACAAAAAAAATGTCATTTCAAATTTCTAAAAGTTCCATGAAGTTTATAAGTATCCACATTGATTAAAACCACTTCTCGAATTTATTGTTGTACAGTACTCCTGAAGTTTCTCCACCACTGCTGTTTATATTTTAGTGAGGAGTAAAGAAAGAGGCTTGATAGAACATTTACTGGGACCCGTTATATGTATCTTTGTTTGTAAGGATTTTTATGTAGTTTAGGAATCTTAGCATAGGTATGTTAATTCAAATTAAGTTTGATTGTTGATATCAAAATATTTAAAACTGACAAATGGTTTTGAAGAACTTCCTCCTTAGAAAGGGAAATTTGATTGCCATTTGCAGACTTAAATCCAAGTTCCTCTAAAATACAAATAAAATAATGAGCCTTACATACAAATATGATGTTGTTACATGCTTTGTTAGCTGCGACCAATACATATTGATATTTAATCTATCTAAATGTTTTTCACTTCTGAATTACTGAAGACAGTGGGATAAATGGTTTTCATATTGTCCCTCAAAGTGCAGTGCGGGATTTCAAAATTCATCTGATACTTTTAATCCATTCTAGTTCATTTGTCATGTTTGGCCCATCGCCTGGCGTAATCTGCCACAGAATTCATACTATTTGTGAAATTTTGACACCAGTTGAAAGATCGGTGATCCCTATATTTTGGCCATTTTGAAATAAGTGATTTAAATTCTTCATTATTAACTATATTTACAGTACCTGTAACGATGTGTCCATCAGGACTGTAGATGTAGGGTGAATACGTACATGTACGAGGATTATAAAACATTTTCTTTGTTGTAATATGGTTGTTTGTTAAAGTTTAATGCCGAGTCGGCAATTTTTTCAGCCATAGGTTCTTAGTTGAAATAAGGGAGATAAATGTTGCTACAAGGGAGATTAATGTTACAACATTGGAGGTAAAAAAACAGAAATATAGTGTAGAGAAAAACATATTTTTCCTGCAATGATTGAAACGTAATACACCATTTAACACAACAAGACATTTTATTGTTTCTATTTGGCTTTTTATTACTTATATAAAGTGATTGTACATAAACCATTGTATTATCAATTCGTACATTGCTTTGATATATAGGTCGTGAAACAGTCTTTAACATGTATTCCATTTTTGGAGTTACAAGATGGCTTTAACAATTGCTTTTGACTAGTTAGGATATTTATTGCTTCAGCAATTTGGTTTTCATCAGAAATAAGGGAAACGAGTATTTCTTTTGAAATTTATGTGGGCTACATTTTGTCACAAAATTTATAGAACAGTCAATTATCCGTATCTGTATAAATAGTTTTATCTCAAGTAAATACTTTAAAAAACTCCCAAGAACTTAAAATGTTATGAAGAAATTTACATGAAGCTGTCAGTAAACAGTCTTATACGTTATGTGTGTCTATATGATTACATTTGTCGGATACCTCATATGGAATCAAGTTTGATCTGCCGAAACTGAATACGAAACCCAGCTGATGTAAATATTCAAAAATGATTTTTTTTTCTTATTACATGTAAGCTAAACCCAAACAAAAGTCTACTTTTGCTACAAGCAAAAGGGTCATTTTTCGACCGCTGGTCATTATTCTATGGGGTCATTATTCGTCTTTACACCGGCCTCTCTTTAAACTGTTGGTCTGTTGAAATCTCAGGACGATGTATGAGCATCCAGTGTTTCTCAGTCATAAATTTGTCAAAATCTGTGAGAAATGGTCATATATTTTAATTCATATAATTACAACTGGAAGTTTGCAAGGTTTTTAAAATAAGGACCATTTATACGGTATAACGCAATGAACTCATTAAGTATAATCTAATTTTTATTTATTTATTTTTCATGAAGCAGTAGGCTAAGGTATATAAACGCCTTAACTCAGAAAATGAATTTTCATAATTTTTATAGCGGGCATATTCCCATTCAAGCAGGTTCTCTGATACATATAATAAATTACAAAATATGATGTTTTTCAATATGTGACCAATTATTCCAACCCTGGAGCTCAAATCATGTACCGAGTTATTTCGAATTTTTCAATTAAGGTGAGAGGCTTGTTTCACATGACAATCAATAATAATGTTAGTCTGTTTACAAATAGATATTCAGGAGCAAATAAAAGAAAAGATTTTCTACAATAAAATGCATTTATATATAATTTCTCAAATATACCTCTTCATTCAGTGAATGATTCTTCCTCAGTTTGCCGATACGTAGACAGATGATGACCTGTATATTTCTATTTAACAACATATTAGATTAAACAATATTTTGTTATACCTTTAAAAAGTTTTTCCTATATAAATCTACACTTAAAAATCTAAAATTCCTCATGTTTAACTGAGCAGTCCAAAGAAAATCCCTTTTGGTCCGTTAAGTGAGATATTGGACCTGTCAATGAGATATGGACCTTCACAATGTAGGCGGGTTCAGCTAAATCTTATTGTTCGACAGTTACAGAATTGACCGAGTATAAATCCGCAGTGCAGGTAAACGAAATTTATATTAAGTATTGTAAACATGGATTCAGAGAGCCAGTGCAAGATATTTCAAATTAGATAACAAAAGGTATAACAAAATATTTATTTACTGTTTTCTCAGTCAAAATGCGTTTTGCCGAACTCTCAAATCAAACTTTCTTGCCTTCGGCATAACGGCCTCAGGCAAACTGTTTGGTTCTTGGGTCCAACAAAACGCTTGTTGTTCCTGAACCCTGTCAATAAATTTAATAATTAAAGACACTGCTAAAGTAATAAATACTGGCAACTGTACATCATTTAACAAAGAATGGCTGACTCCTGGCTCCGGGGCCATAAAACTTAGACGAGCTCACATTTGATCTCAGTCTCACTTTTACAAAAGGAATATATAGTGAAAAAGTAAGACTGAGATCAAATGTGAGCTTGTCTAAGTTTTATGGCCCCGGAACATGTTTGTGTATTCTTATTTATACAAATTATATAGAATTACACATAAATTAAGCTCTGCTTACAATCAGCGTATACTTCCTTGAGCAACAGAAGACAAGTTTCTCTTATAATTATCATGCAAGAAACCCTTATCAGAAAAGTCCGATATTTCTGCTTTGAATAACTCCGTTTGCTGAAATTTATTCTTAAAAGACCTGGTCCCTTTTGTCCGTATTAAAAGGATCATCAGTGGAGGATGCTGATCTACTTGTATTCGGCCGATTTGTGGTCAGTCGTGTCTGTCCAGTGCCTTGGCTGCCCTTAGACTCCAGCTCGAAATGCTGGGAGATATTGTCCCTTACTCCCGTGTGACAAAAACAGGCCTGCAGGTGGCATTCTAGGTGCGCAGAACGACAAGACATGCGTATACTTTCTCGAAACTTTTTGGACATAAAGCAGTACACAAAAGGGTTAACACAAGACTGAATGTACGGCAGGCACTCTATCGCAATCTAAAAGTAATTAACTTTTAGTTATTTACAGATTTCAAGTAACTCTCATATACATGTATTTTGATATAAAAAATAATTGAAAACAATTGACTAAGAATAAAAACAACTGTTTTCACACGAAAAAAAAAAACAAACTTAATATATAGATCGAAACTGTGCGTTCTTTTCGCATAAAAATAGCTTTAAAATTATCCATATGTCTAGGTTAATAATTATTTGCATGTCTGCAACAGTAGCATTTTAGATAAATAATAATTACCTTTATTCTAAAAACTTCATTGTAGAAAAGAATCTCTGGTGCCATTTTGCTGATGACATCAAATATTAGTTTTGGGCCCCAGCAAATTAGAAAAACAAGAACTACGGCGATTAGCATCTTAATAATCTGAAAAAAAGAAAAAAAAGTTTACTGCTAAAACTAGTGTAATATAGCCATACAAAAATACAGCGTGCTTTATTTTAATATTTATAGTATATATATATATATATATATATATATATATATATATATATATATATATATATATATATATATATATATATATATATATATATATATATATATATATATATATATATATATATTTAAATATTTACCAGTAGAAAGGACCTTTAAACCGTAAATAAATCGTTATCAAGATAGTTTGGTATGCAAACCAAAATTTGAAAATAAAAAAAAAACTTCAGAAGTTAAAGTTATTGGCTTCAGCTTCTAGAATATGCATTTGGTTACAATAGTTTAATAGTATTAATAGACAAAAGGATTAAAAAAAAATAACCATAAAAAGACACTGCACCTGTTTTCTGGCATTTAAGGTGTGAGACTGATGTAAAGATCCGTCATGTTTTATACAGCACGGTTTATTTGTTGTATTATTGTCAGAGTACACACTGGAGTACCTCACTAACTGCCTATTAACTCTGTCTCCACCTGGTCCTCTACAATTGTAAAGCATTTGATTATGTTACAAGAATTTCCAGTGGAAAAAAACTAGTCATTTAATACATAAGTAATAAACTTAATGCATTGAGTAAGCAAATAATAAGAAATAAAATTAAATGTGGGATATTATGATCGCTATTTTAAAAGTACAAAATAAATAAATAAATAAATAAATAAAATAAAAATAAAAATACCTCGGCACTGTAGTGAGTTTGGTGAGCTGTGCTGAGCTGACCCACAGGGCATATATAACTCCGGTGTAACAAACTGCCATAATGACTGTAGGAATAGCAAACATGAGGATTAGTTTGCAGAAGCTAAACACAATGCGAAACTGCTCAGATACGTGACTGTCATCACAGAAGGTCAAGGTCACACTGGACACATTGTTGTGGAAGTTCTTGTACTTTACGTTCTGTAATAGAAGTATATGTTGTTAACCTTAAGGAGAAACACAAGTTTTTGTCCCGATGGAAGTGAAGGAAAAAATCGAAAGGATGAGTGAAAGGTTCAACTACCTATATAGTGCATTGATTACACGAGAAATTGTCTTACGATTTTATGTATATATTAGCTTTTGAACAGGTCGAGACCACTAGATTTTCTGACGTCAGCATAAATTTGCATGTAAATTAGCTATCTGTTTACTTTACTCACTGATGAATGAGTCGCATTGCATTGTGGGCTACTACAAGTACTCAGTTGTGTTGAAAATAAAGGGCAACTTGAATTGGCCCTTGGAAACTCATTTTCAATTCTTTTTTGAGATTTAAGAAAGAAATGTTATAAATGATGTATAATCTTTCATTCCTATGCTCACATTTACAAAATTTGCTTTATGAAGCCTTATATCAGCATGTAATACATCGGCCTAAACCATTGTTCAAAGAGACGTAGGTGCTATCGTGTCGATAAAGCATTGAGTTTGTTTTTTTCACGAGATATACATGAACATATAGTTTTAGACAGCAGTACAAGGTGCGCAATTATTATTTAACCCCTCTGTATCATCAAAATGTTTTTATGTACATGCAAACGTCAAAGCGTAGGTACGGTATTTGAAGCAACTATTAATCATCTAAAACAACTCCAATATTAAATGTGAGCATGGAGCAGTGTCTTTGGAATATAATCTTTCAATTTCGGTCTTATAAAGTAAAAAAGAAGCTCTGCGGTTTTTCCGGTGACGAAGTAAATATGCGGTAAACCGACGAAAACCACTTGTCGCTATTGAATCGTAAACACGTAGTAGACCGTCATTCAATTGATTGGAGAACGGGTGTGACGAAAACATCGTCACGTGTTGAAAATTGCCTTCCATATAAGGTAGTGTACCCGACCTGTTGAAATACTCTTCATTAATGGACTGCATACAAGTATTGCCAAAGGCATTTTATAAAAAAGGATATAAATCTGTCATTTCTGTGATTGAAAAAAAAAAAAACACTCGAAGGAACTAAGCCAAAGATCAGTTCTTTGTGTCATAGAATGGACTTGGTCTTTATTGTTTCATAGGATATTGCCTTCAAAATAGACAGCTTCGTGTAATTTTTAATTCTGACTGCTCTTAAGTATTTGTATTTTTGAGAAAGTACTGTTTTCTGATTGGATGGTCTCAGGTTTTTGTTTTTGTTTTTTAAAATCATTTGCTTGCTGTATTTATTAGATTGATCAATGTTTGTTATCTCTTCATCTACATTGTTTTTGTCTACAGCAATAGACAGTGGAAGTGAGCGAATGAATTTAACAAATTCAGCAAATTATTTATCTGACAAGTTCTTCCTTCCCGTTGAGCAAGAAACATGTCATCGGTTGAATGAAGCATTTTTCTATCGATTGTGAATGCTTAATACTGTTCTTATATTGATTTATTTATTTGAAATTGTGTTTATGATTTCTTAAATATTTAGATTGAAATAATTTTAATTTAAAACAATAACTGAGGTCGTGACAAGGTAATGGTTTTCTTGAGGAACCAAATTAATATTTTTCAAGCAAGTGAGGTTATGGATGTTTTGAAGAATTATTTAAGGTATCACTGTTTATAGTTTGTTGGTATACCAGGGCATCAATAACAGTTGGAAACATGGGATAATTTCATAATGGGAGAGGCCAGTAATGCATGAATTATCGCATTTCCAACTGTCGTTGATGTCCCTGGCATACCCAACAAACTAGGCAGTGATTCCTTATGTACATGTATTTACATTTACATGTATATTTGAAATAAAATGTAAACATAAATTAAAAAATGATTATAGGCACTTGACCTTTTTCTTGGCGAAACTTACATTCAGTTGTAAATATCGAGAAATCATCGCAATGTGAAATGTCCCTCTAACAAGAGACATAACTTTCCAAGGAAATCATTCCAAGTAATCTAATGAATTGTCTTACCAGAGTTTAAAAATTAGGACCATCAAATAGTCAATTCAATTAAATCTGAATTATGTAACAAATATTGATTTCCCTTTTCTTTTGATAGTTACTTATATAATAGTTTTCTTAATACATTTGCACTCAGTTTCTTTGAACTGTTAAAGTTGAAATATTTCGATCTTTCAATATATAATTTCTTAAACTGTTACAGGAATTTATCATGTATCAGATGCAGTATTTTTAGAATTTATTAATTTTTTTTCTTTGAAAAATATTTTGAAGAAAGATAACTCCTGTAAATGGAACGATAACTCTTGTAGATGAATGCATTTTTTACAAGCAGAGAAAACAGCTTCATTATGTTTTCTAATAAGAATTAAATATGGATGACAGTAAATATTATTTTATTTTCATATATACATCATATTTTTAATGTCGCCCGCGTGGCGCAGTGGTTAGAGCGTCTGCTCTAGAGTCGCGGAGTAAGGGGCTGATCCTTACGTCGTGGGTTCGAATCCATTGCGGGACGTGGAGGCCGGTCCTTCGGATGAGACCGTACATGTATAAATAGAGGTCCTGTGTCGCAGTAGGTGTTCACAAGAAAAAGATCCCTCAGTGCTCAATGGCCCTAAGTGCCGAGCATAGGTATAAATTTGCAGCCATCCACCGGAAAGTGGTGGCGTCTCCATATGAGTAAAAAAAATTCTCGATAGGGACGTTAAACAACAATCAACAAAGAAAACAAACATATTTTAATTTTATGCTGAGATAAAATACTGATCTCTCCATTCACTTTAATAAATTTTCTTTATATCATGATTAGACATAATATTCATTTCTGAAAAGGTAAGCAACGCTTCATACTTCAAACTAGGAGGGACTTAACATTATATCACTAAGGAAAACAGAACAAACACGCGAACAATTTAAATTTTGCAGAAAGGAATAGAACATAGGGAAAATTTTTAAAATTCTTCTGTTTAAGAACAGCAAAGCCAGGATTAGTAATATTGATATGGAGGCATCCTGAGGTAGTACTGGATGTATATTTTATATGAGCTTCACATTATTATGGGAAATGTAAGTTCAAATACATTTTTAGTTCTTCTTTATGAAAATGGATTACACTGCTTCATCTTATTTGTAAAAATTTTTTAAAAAGTGAAATTTTTAAGGACATTTTGTGACTTCTACATTTGATGTAAATTATAGTTCTCGTCATTGAGGCAACAGAGAACTTAAAGTGATATTCGATATGCTACTGCTGCAAAATTGCATTAAACTTGTTTTGTATATGACCTTTAATTGATTTTAGATTGCATTTACAAGCCTTACCTAATACCCATCTCCATTCTCTCACAAAATTTCTCATCTCGAACAGAAATTCAAAAAATTAAGTTTTCTATGTTATCTATACATATGCTTACTCCTCCATGGCACCCGATCCCATCTCTGTTTTAAGAGACCTGTGTTGTTTCTACTCATAATTGTTTAAATGGACTTTTGAGAATGATCACTGTTCATAATCTTCACATCTTATCTTTATTGAATTGTTTCTGATTTTAGATCGCATTATTAATTTGAATTCAAGAAACAAATGATCACGCCATAATTATGTTTAAAAAAAAAAGAAAAATCCACATATTTCCAAACATTTTTTGATAAATTGTCAGAAAATATATAAATATATAAAGGGTTAATTTTACCTGATGAGAATAATAAAGCTTCTTGTCAACCTTACAAATTCATGGTAACTAGAGCTTGTAGAGAATGAAAATGGATCAGTATACTATGAGTTTAATATCATTAAAAACTATTTTCTCTAAAAGTATCGATTGTAATAACCATTTTGTTTGTAAATAAACTTATAAGCAATCGCATATCCGGAAGGTACCCATGCGAACAGTCTGATTACCAATAAATATATGAAAATCATAACCTATCTCCACAAATCAAACCACAAACCATTAAATTATTGGAAAAATGCAAAATTTTATCAGTTTAATTCGAAAAGTAGCTACTAAATAAGAATATGTCTCAAATTTTGCCGTTTTTTGTTTTTAAGAAGTCCTAGAATGGGACTGGGAATAATTCTCACTCATGAAATAGCATGACGTTTGGTATCAAGAAAAATCCTTTGTTCGAGGTGTAAACAATGTTCTAACGTAATATACTTCGGAATTCTCCTTAGAAATTTTAGAAATTACAAAGCCATAAGATTTACGGGTTATAAAAGAGAAGTAAGTATGTTTCATATAGCAAATTTACAAGCTGAAATGCTTCTACATGTACATCTTAAAATAATTCGATATGTTTGACTTGTAATAATGTGAAATCATCAATGTACGTGGGGGACCAATATTCACGGATTTCGTAGGTCACCCTTACCAACGAATTTGCATCCCTATGAACATTATTTTATCAACGTACGGTTCACTGAATCTTCTGTATATTTGAGTTACCCACGAAATCACATCCCCACGAACCAGCATTGATTACCCACGAACATTGACCCCCACGAATTAAAACGATACCGTAGTAGTTATTCTCTTTAAGCACTTGTATAGTAGCAGCAAAGTTAAGGACTACAAAAAAAAACTTATAACAAAAGTTTTTTATAACACAAACTCATATCAGGCAAAATCGGCTGCTATTTGTGATGGTTACCAGGGCAACATTGCATTCTTTAGAATTAAAAATAGCATTTTTGAACATGTTCAGAGTGCCATCATTAACATTTGCAGCAATGCAGGACAGTGACTGTCAAAGACTTAATGCATAATAAAATTATTTTGGAAAACAAAAGTTACCATATTAACAAAATATAGAAATGCAATACTTTTTGTTCATTTTTTTAATTAATCATATTTCACAAAATAAAATCAATTAAGGTCAGACGATACGTTCCTCAAATATCTGTTTTGTATATCTTCGTAATGTATAAAAAAAGTTCAAATTTTTAATTACCTTCTGATTTCTAAACCAGTTTCTAAACGTCTTTAAAAAATCCAAACACTAAAAAATTTGATATTGGTA